GATGTGCTTTTACACTGCTGCTTCAGTTCTGATGCAGTGACTATTTCTGCTGATAAAGTTTTAGAGGTGTTCAGGCTGTAGAAAAGGGCACTTTACATTGTCGTCACTTTATGTGATGTAGGTTTCAAATGGCTGAGTGTGTAGTAGTACCAAGAGTTGTTACATGGTTCTTTTTTATCACAGAATCACGGAATGGGTGAGTTTGGAAGGGACATCTGGAGGTCATCAGGTCCAGCCCCCCTGCTGAAGGAGGAGCACCTAGAGGCAGCTGCCCACATCTGGGTTGGCTTTTGAATACCTCCAAGGAGGGAGACTCCAGAGAGTCCATGGGCCATCTGTGATAGTGCTCAGCCACGCACACAGTATACTTGAATACCATGAGAGGGAATTGGGCACAAACTCAGTACCTTTTCACAGTATTGATGTTGATTTCTGTTTTAAAAATTGCTGCAGCTTCAGACATTTGCAGCTCTTGCATCAAAACCTGTGGTGCACCTGAAACATTTCTAAATCGAGGGAAAAAAATTATTTTAATGCATCACCTTTAAGTTTCCTCAGTACTCTCCAGAACTTCTATGATCAGATAGCTAGTCTTTTTATTGCTGCTAGCAGCTGATGATGCGGTGTCTGTTGCCCAGCTGGTAGCCCAGATGCGGTGGGACGTTGTGGCAACCATACAAGCAGCTTTATTTATTTCAGGGAATACTAGTTGTTAATGAAGATCTGAGTTGTCATTTCCCATCCTGAAAAGTCACCAGCAATCAGAAGAGTATAGAGCAAAGTCCCAGTTCTGGAAAAGTAAGAATTATTGTACTGAGATGAAGAAGACTGGAAAAATTTGGGGGTTTTACTGGCTAATTCAAGGATTTAAGAGTCAGGGAAAGCATTAAATGCTGCTGTGACACTCTTCCTTTTTATATGAATACATTTTTGTGAAGGTAATACACTGTATATAATTTAACTTGACATTTAATAAACTTTGCTATCTAGGACATGTCTTTGTTTTATTGTTCCCCTTCTTAATATTGCTTTTACACCCCTTCTTTGCCCATAGAACCCTCCAGAGCTCTCCTCTACTCCCTGCAGCTCTGATCACAGCTGCACCTTCAGCCTGTCCCAGAGGACAGGCAAATGTGTCCCTTTCCTCTGGAGAAGCTTGAAGCACAATCCGGTTAAGATCATGGCCTACAGGTGAGCTATTGCTACTAATCAGTTGCCAGACTCCAGTGTTTAGAGACATCCTCCTTGTGGTCTGGGCAGAAGACAGTGGGTGAGCTTCTGGTAGCCACAGAACACAGCCAAATCCCTGATCCTGTAGGAAGCGGACTGGTTTGTAGCCCGCAAAGGAAAAGGGGAATTTCTTCAGCCTGCCTGCGGTACATTGTAGCGTCTCTCCCCTGAGAAAGCTGGTGCAGAACCCCTGGGCCTTCACTTTGTGTTGTCATTGGGCCAAACCGGGACAAGATATGTTTGGAAGTTTCTTCCTGCCCTGCTGTGTGCTGCCGCTTGGCTGGGGGGGCAGCAGAGCAGAAACTCACTCTTGGCATCTGGCAAAGCAGCAGGTGACAGCAGTTACCATGGGGTGGAGTGGGGCTAAAGAGAAATCCATTCCTTCACTTGAAAATCCATCTCCAGTGCCACAGTGAGGACACCTGATGATCTCAGAGAGGTCAGGGCAGGAAAGCTCCTGAGGCCTGGAAGCCAGGAAATACCTGTCTGGTCTTCAGGAAGGGCAAGACAGAGGAGCTGGGGAACTACAGGCCAGTCAGCCTTATCTCACTGCCTGGGGACAAAATGGTGATGGGGAGGAGTTGGCATGGGTTTGTAAAGGGAAAAATGCCAATTGGGTAGCCTTCTACTATTATGTGTGTAATTCCATGGACAGAGGGAGAGTGGTGCGTGTTTCTTTCCTTTAGCAAGGCTTTCTCTGGCTTGCACCATAACAGTCAAGTTTAGATTTTGGGACTTCCTGATCTCCTTCCAAAGAGAAAGCAACCATGTCTCCTAATTTCCTTCCTTGCTAAGCTATGTTAGAAACCCTTTCAGGTCAGTACTGTGGGAGGATTACTGGATTTTGTAATTTGATTGTACAGAATGCACAATTCTGTTTTAGAAAATCTCATTATATCGGTTGTTTTTTAACTTAAGAACAAATGATGTAATAAGTAATCTGGGTTTCCTGTCTTCAGAACGTTGCACTGAATTGTGGCCACAAAACATGATTAGTTTTTCATTGCGCTAGCCAGCGTAGTATCGTGAACAATTGATTAAAGGCTGTTTGAGTAGTGCTACTGTAGCCCTTGCATGTCTACCTAGTGAGCCTTGACCTCTGAAATATCCAGAGATCTGCTTATAATTGATTGCTGACCTCTGCAGCTCTAATTGCATCATTGATGCTCTGCAGAGGAAATACAACTCTGGTGTCCTGTCAGCAAACTGCCCAACTTTGTCCTGTTTTCATCTTCCCTTTACCTTCAAGGCACCTCTCACCACCCTTATCTGGATATAGAGATAATAATTTAATTAATAATCTGTTCCTAAAACAAACAAGCTACAAGATCTATTTGCCCAGAAAAGCCAATAGTAAATGTTTCTTTACTGCTGGTTTTTGGTGAGCCAGCCCATCAAAGGAGGGGATTGTCCTGCTCTGCTCTGCACTGGTGCAGCCTCACCTTGAATATTGTGTGCAGTTTTGGGCACCACAATATAAGAAAGATATTAAGCCATTAGAGGGTGTCCAAAGGAGGGCAGCAAAGATAGTGAAGGGCCTGGAGGGGGAACTCTGTGCGCAGCAGCTGAGGTGACTTGGTATGTTCAGCCTGGAGAAGGGGAGACTGAAGGGAGACTTCACTGAGGTCTTCAACATCCTCATGAGGGGAA